AAAAAATGTTGTCAAAGAAGGAAATAATAGCCCTGTCAATTCAGATTCTGAATATGTTGATGCCAGCGATCAACAACCGCACCAACAATACCCACTGGATATTCGTAATCGCCCTGATGAGTCTATACTGGCAAAAACGAAAAACATTGTTTCATCATTTATGGGCGGATCTAAAGATGATGATAAATATGGAGAATATGTTAAAATTACATTTCATGTGCATTTACCACCACACATTGAAAGATATGGTGAACCAGTGATAGTGGGTAATTGTAAGGAATTGGGGAGTTGGAGAATGATTACAATTAAATTGATACAACCATACAGACAAGAATATCCAACTTATTGGCGATCACACACTGTAGAAATTCAATTAGGCAGGGATGAAATTAAGTATAAGTATGGTATCTTTAATCGAGGCAGCGTGGATTATGAAGGGGAGAATGATAGACAAAACCGCACTTTGGACATAAGAACAAATGATCAATATGACATATGGCAAAACAATAATAATTATAATATTTGGGGCCTTAGAGAATTTGCATTCACTAAATGCATTTATGATGCAGTAAATACCGAAAACCTTAAGGATAAGGTTATGCAATTCCAATTATTGTTAGAAAATCATAGGGATCGCGTATTGAATAACGCTACTATCGAGTTTATAATGCAAAACTGTCAAAGTAAAAGAGATAAACGACTTTTTTTATGCGTTCTCTTGGGATATTATATTAAGCACTGTAAGGATCCACGCGCTCTCACTTTTCAATTGCCATCACATTTCCGTTCTGATTCGTTACTTGAAGCACTCGAAAATGTTCAGGAGGATACATTTATATCTGATATTAAACCAATAATGGCTCCAGTTGTCGCTGCTCTGGTTCGTCATAATGCTATTGTAATAGTATCATTTGATTGGCTTAAAGTATTTCGGGTGGCGCAGATTCTTGATCCAAGATATACTTTTGTCGATGGATTTATTGGAGTTCGTTATAATAAAGAACAAATATCACGCTTGTTGAAGGAATGGCCGAGAGTAGTCAAACCTTACTTGTTTAAAGCAGAAGAACGTATTCACACCAAAATTGCAAAGGTATAATATGTATAATTTTTATATCTTATATTTTTAATCTAATTCAATTAAAATTCTTAATTAATTTGTTGTAATCTTTATAGTGGTTAATTTCATTTTGCTCAAATATGGAGACCCTTAATATAATGTGGCGAGATAATATTTACCACACACCAAGTATTGATAATGAAATTGTACCTGAGTTTAGCGGAATTGTTTATAATATTATTGCTCGTGACAATAATGTCAGTGCTTTGTATGCAAATTTTACTAAAGTTATCCCTGAATTTCGGGGAACAGTTGCTGGCCTTTTCCGTGAACGAATACTCAATTTACTCAAAAATCAGCAAAGCGGTTGGGATCAATATAATTTGCAGACACTCGGAGAACTTCTTAAGGATGAGCATTTATTTTTTGAAAGAGAATATTTTCTTAATGCTATGGATTTGGTTTCACAATCTGCGGCCTATAATCTATTGAACATGTTTCCGGATATTCTGGAATATTGGAATAACTCTAAGTTTCCTAATTCTAGATCATCAGACGTTCTAAAAATATGCAGCCAATGGTTTACACGTATAATATCAAAACTGAATTATAGTCATAACATGCAATTAAATGAAGGAGGAAGATTCATATGTCTTATTTATGAACGTTTAACACGCATGCAGTCTTTACTTGGTGAAAAATCTAGAATATATCAAGAGTTATCACATGTTGCTAGCGAACGAATTAAAAAATGCTCACACAATCATATTCTCTTTGCAACAGCTCAAGTGGCGGTGCTTAACAAATCAATTGCTAATCAGTTTTATAATCTAGTAACTGAAAATGTTCTCGTTTCTAGAGATATTCGAAATATTGATAATGGTCTTACGGAGAAAGTATGTTGGATTTGTGGTCATAATAATAAAGGAAATTTAGAAAAATTGGAAGTTCCAAACAGGTGTGATGTTTTTTTTTTATAAACTATTTACTGAAAAAAAATTTTATTTTCATATATTAACATGATTAATAAAAATTTCATTAAAATAGCATTAGCGAAAACTTATTATGCCATATTATGACTTGTTTGGAAAATCAGGTTTATAACACTGATCAGCAATTGGATCTCATTAAAAACACAGATTTCTGGAGAATGATTTTTAATGCAAGAGGCAGTGTCACAAATTTACATGGACATTCGCATGTTATGAAGATACGAACAGCTATTTCTGATTTAGCAAGCTCAATTGTTGATAAAACTATAGACATTAAAACATTACAGGCAATTTTATTAAAGAGCAATAATGAGCGTTTGTATAAATGTCTTAATGTTGCTAATAATTCTAATACCAAGAAAACATTTCAAAACGTGAAAGTAGCATTTCGAACGTTCGTAAGGAGTGCAAGGCATTTGAAGAAAGATTAAGACATCTTAAGGCTTTTTACAGCACTTTTTGTCCACCAAGTAAAGTTTCGGATTCGGATGCATATACTAGTGATTTAGAAGGGAAATTAAAGATATTGTCAAAAGTATCGCTTAAAGAAGCATTATCTCCACGGTATTGGGAACGTCATGAGGATGTAATTCAGAAAGCGGCAGAGATCTACGAATTTGCGAATTCAAAAACTTTTACTAACATTTACGAAATACATTTAAGTAAAGTTAACGATGAAATAAATGTTGATTATGTTGTTAATACTTTGATTCCTGCAGTACGTGAAGAACATGTTAAAACATTCAAAAAATACAAAGATAGGAAATGGGAGCATATTAAATATTCCGAAGCATTCCCTTTATGGAAAGGCGTAACTGATATAAAGGCCGAATTAGAATTAATTAATAAAGCGGTTTATTTGAGTAAAAGTAATCAAGATCTAGAAAATTCTCTTAAACACCTTACTGCTATACCAATATGGGATGAACGACTTCAAAAATTATCTACAGTCGTTGAGATTTTTAAAGTGTCGCTTAAAACCGAGGACTGGTTAGGAAGATCTTTGAAAATTTTGCGAGAAGACGTATTAATTTTAGGGAAGGTTACTGAGTTTGTGAAATATGTTAAGGATCATAATCGAGATGATAATGAGAATTATTGGTCATTAATTAAAGAATTATCGTCTGCTAGTGAACTTTTGGAATTTCTTCAAACCATAGCTGAACATGATATTAAAAATTTAATCAATGGTGTAGATGATTATTCTGATGAACGGTTAATTCAAGAAGACACTGTGTCATCACTCATTCAAGTTAAACAATTGGTTGTGCAATTAATGAATAGATCTAATAAAATTGATGAATTCCTGAAAGTTTTGCGTAAAATTAGTCAGGAAAATCCTTCTTTGCCCAACAAAATTACAATATGCGCTGGCTTTAATATGGCTTTACAAAACATGTATGTAACACTATCATATAAGCGATGATCTATGCACTTGAATGCTAACACATTTGTTATTTCTTTAGGCTTAGGAACATATCAAACAGAGGAGAAGTGACAAAAGAAAAGATCCAAAATGCCGTATTGAGAGGAACTTATACTTTCGAAAAAGATGACAAGAGTGATAAATTTAATGTCACACTGGTATATCAAGCTAGAGGAGCCGCAGATAAAATAAAACATAACTTGTCTGATTTACTAGATTTACGTGGACGTGCTCTATTAATCGCAAAACCTGCTAATATCGATGCGGATTTGACAGAAGAGGAAAATTCAAGAAAAATAATGAATGAATTTGTAGTGCAAGTAGATATGGCTCAAGAGATTCTTAATGTTGGATCTAAACTCATCCAGATGGGGCATTTTGACTATCGACGGTTTAAGAGAGAAATTGTTGGAACTGAGAGAAAGGTCGGAACTACAGAAATGAGAGATTTATTAGCAAAACTTAAAGCAGACTTACAAAACTGGTAATGAAATAGGTATTTTAATGTAAATTTTTTATTTTTATAAGATTATTTTACTAATAATAGTGTTTTACTTCAAATTATCCAGGAAAAAAGTGGTAGATGAAGCACAAGAACAACATTACTATTTGACATTCTTCCCTGCGCGTCATATTCTTGCCTTTTATGATTATTTTACATCTGACGTGCAAGATAACGAAAACACAGAGATCTGCAGAACTCTTATAAAGTTTGTTAACAGTAAAGCAGAGTTACCTTCTCGAAAAGATCGTTCAGGAATTTCACGCAAAAACACAGATTATTCTCGTACACTAAAAGAAATCGGTGAAAAATTGAATACTATTTTTGGAAAATTATTAAAAACATCACGTGAGCTTAAAGTTAGAGGCGAACGTATTATTGCTGATGTTGTCGATAGGGGTAAATTATGTGTTGCCTCATGTAACGATAAATCACGAGTACCAAATATTATTATGAGTTTGTATGCTAACCATGGGTACATATCTATATATTATTTTAAAATTTTTGCAGACTTTTTAATATTATTACTAATATAAACGTTATAATAAATAGTTCCTACCCCGAACCATGGCAAATCTTAATTTGTACAAAATCTACGACTATTGAAGAGCTTAATATTTTTATTAAGCGTTGCTTTTTTGCTGCAAAAAACGGATATAAAGAAAAACTATTCTGTATTGCGAATTTAGAGTTACTCGAATTTGAATTGCAATATGGTCTAGTCGAAAGTATTCGGTCAATGCGTGATAAACATAATGATTATTTTTTAGCATTGGTTTGTTGTCGTGAAGGCTCGTTCCATCATCACATATTAGATCAATTTTCACAAGATGTTCATTCAACAAATGGTCTTAACGCTGAAACTATGAAAACCATTTATTGCAATCTATGCAATAATGTTGTTTGCGTGTCTTCAGACCTATCTGGACAAGGCAAGACTGAATGGATTAAACAAGCCAGCTTTGAAAAAAAGAAATTGCTGCGTAGCTTTTTAATTAGTGATGGAGCAGGTTTTGGAAGCCTGGTTCGCCAACTTTGGGAGTGTAAACTTCAACCATTTGAAAGCTTACACATAAATATTATATCGGCAGATAATTCCAATGAAATCAATATGTTCTTATTTGAATTATTGACATTAGGGTTTGTTTCTAGTAATGTTGATATAGCGAGTTT